TACACCTCATCCAATCGGAGAATGCCTTGTATGCTTTAAAAAAAAATACAAGCCATTAAAAAAAAAATACATGCTGGCATGAGCATTAAAGTGTTACTAAATCCACAACAGTAATCAGTCTATATATGCAGTAAAGCATGCTTGTTATACTCACTGTGATTTAAAGTCATTCAAAGTGTGACAGCGCTGAAAGCTGAAAACTGGCCTGGGCAGGAAGGGGGTATAAGTGTCCTGTAGGCTAGTGGTAAGTGATTTCTCAACCAAATAAAGCATGGAGACATGGATGGATGGGTGATTTTGCTTTGAATATTAAAAATAGATAAAAAATAGCATTCCATTTAAAATTGTATCTCCTTGAGGGCAGAGACTGATGGAAATGTACATATTTTAAAGTGTTACAAACCCACAACAGTAAAATCAGTCTGTATATGCAATAGGGAACGTGGAAGTCTGTATATGCAGTAAAGCATGCTTGCTATACTCGCTGTGGAACCTAAGGGGTTAATCCTCTGCATTGTGTAAAAGGCTGTTTGATCCTGTCTTCTCTGCCCCTCCTCTTGTTCAAATGTCCACGCTGATAAGAGAGACTGAACCTGTATCCCTTCTGTGCATGCTCAGTTTAGTGTGTATTGCTAGAGGTTTTTTTTTTCTTGGAAGAGTGCATGTCATCAGCACAGGGCCAATCAGCACTGCCCAAATAGAAGTCAGGTGTTTTGCATCCTCCTAGAGCAGAGAGAAAACTCCTCCTACAAGCTTTAACCTGTGCTCAGCTGAAGTCACAGGATTGCTCTAACTGCTGATGAAAAAAGGTATTTAGCAGTTTATATTTACTAAAATAATTGCAGTTCCATGTTCTGTGTATTGTGGGAGACTGGATATAGTGAATGCAGGGTCCTGGGTTTAGTAACACTTTAATGTGCATGCCGGCTTTACCTTTGGTGCCCAGTGGCCTATTCAAAGCATTGCAGAGCTCAAGACAATTGCTGAATGGTCTTTAACTCCTTTCACCTGTGACCAGACCCAGGTTGTTGATTCTTCTGTGCTTTACCCAGTTCGCCCTCTAACTTTGCCTAATCTTGTTCATTCTGTTACCTGTCCTCTGGCTTTGCCGCTTGTTTATCGATTTGTACCATACCTGTTTGTGTGATATGGACCTGGACTTGGCTTCCATTTCTGCCTCTGTTTTCTGAATCTGTATCTCTGCTGTCTGGTTGTTGCCAGCTTCTGCTTGCCTGACCATGGTTCTGTCTCCTGCATCCACAGGTTCCTTTGACAACATCTTGCACGAGTCCCTGTTTGCGTCTTCTGGCCAGGACTCACCATAGGCACGCGTGTCCTGTCATATCATGTCATCAACCTCTGGGGGGGAAAAACAGGACAAAGGGAGGGGAAAGCCCTTTCATAAGCTCGGCCTCTACCAGGTGCCTAACAATGTGCATGTGCTGTGTCATCAGGGGGGCCAAATGCAAAAATCACAAACAGACAGCCTCCCCTGCACATGCAGAATACCCTGCAGCCTCCTGAGATGTGTGACGTGGGTATCTCAGAAGACTGTGGGCAACTGTATATGTAATTCTCCCCTAAGCAGGAAAGCATAAAAAAAATAAAAATAAAATAAAAAAAATTCCACAGCACACATGACGTAAAAAAAATTCTCCTAGAAGCTGTCCTCCTTGCAGCAGAAAAAAACGCTGGAAGCTTGTAAAAGTATGTGTAACAAGCATGTTTTACAAGCATCAAACTCTTCAGCGTTAATTCATTTCATTGGCCAGAATGATAATTTAATCTGGCATAGCAGAGCCATAGAGATCAGTGTGCTTACACAGTAAAACACACAACTAGCACACAGTTAACCCTTTGATCGCCCAAGATGTTAACCCCTTCCTGCCCTGTGTCGTTAGTACAGTGTCAGTGCTTTTTATTAGGACTGATCACTCTATTGGTGTCACTGGGGATGCCAGTGACACCAAGTCAGTTCCCACCCAGTGTCAGAATTTCCGCCGCAGTCCCGCTATAAGTCCTCATGCACACTGGACGTTTTTACAGCGGCTGTTTTTGGCTTTTTATGTTTTTTTTTCTACAGCCAGTAAGCCCCCCAGCATGTTATCCTATGTGTCCATGCATACATAGACTGGAATCAACGTTTTTTGGCTGGAAAAAAAAAAAGGACTAGTGGGTTTCTAGAGGAGTTTATTAGCTGTAAAAACTCTCTAACACTGAAAAAACGCGGTAAAACACTGCAAACCGTTGTTTTTAGACTTTTTTTGGTTAAAAAAACCACAAAAAATTGCAAACGCGAAGAAATGCAGGAAAACACTACTAACTGTAGCATTACGCCACTAAACGCTAATGCAAAAACGCTGAAAAAACTCACATTTTTAACGTGACTTTACACAGCTAATGTTACCAGCGTTATCAAAATGCCTCGTCTGCATAGAGCCTAAGTCGCTGATCGCCGCCATTACTAGTAAAAAAAAAAAAAAATCCAAGTATCTATATCGCCATTTGTAAACGCTATAACTTCCACGTAAACCAATAAATTTATAAGTTTTGGGATTTTTTAGCAAAGACATGTCGCAGAATACATTTTGGCCTAAATTTATGACGAAATTTGATTTTTTAAATTTTTTTACTGGACATGTTTAATAGCAAAAAGTCCAAAATATTGTTTTTTTTTTCTCAAAATTGTCGGGCTTTTTTTTTATAGCGCAAAAAATACAAAATGCACAGGCAATCAAATACCACTGAAAGAAAGCTCAATTTGTGGGAAAAAAAGGAGGTAAATTTAATTTGGGTGCAGCGCTGCATGACTGCGCAATTGTTAAAGTAAAGCAGCGCCGTACTACAAAAAATGGCCTGGTCAGGAAGGGGGGTGAATCCTCTGGAGGGTAAGTGGCTAAAAAAACGAGTCCGTATGTTGCTGCGGCACCACGTGGTTTCACGCACCCAAAAAATGCGCTGTTTTCCAATGGATGGGGGTGCTATTAACAATGAATGCCATCCAGGTGTTCCTGCCAAAGAGCAGTGCGTTTTGTCTGTGGGTTGTATGTAGCATACACACTACAGAGTGAACCCCGCACCTTCGCGTTCTAGGAACACAGGAAGAAATGCGCATTTCAGCCTGCGTTCCTGTAAACGTGAGGGAAAAAAAGCGAATTAGGGTTGTGGTGCCATTATTGCTTAACCTCCCTAGCGGTATGATTATGTCCATATTTCTGTGCTCAAAGCGGTACATTTTTTTGCATGGAAATATGTATTTTTTTTATTGTAGGCCTGTAATGTTTAGGAATAACTCCCTGAAATCTGTCTGAACAAGAGTCTAGTAAACATCCCGGGTATGATAAAATTTGAAACACGAAACCATAAATTATAATATAATAAATAATCATAAAAAATAATAATAAATTTTAATTCAATAATATAATCAAACCAAAAACACTGAAGTTTGAAATATAGCGCCAAGTTTGCACATTGCTGAGCAAAGTCGCAAAATCGTTTTCAGTGTCAGATGACGAATTTCCCCCACGAATTATTATCACTCAATTCTGCAAGTAGTTCTAATTTACTATCGCTGTTCTCTAGCTGGTCTAAAACCGCTTTTGACCTAAAGGGACGCTTTTTGGACGCCACGGACGTTTCTCAGTTTCCAGGCAGAAAGAACGGTACAAATGCAGACAGGGCACAGGACAAAGCAGTAGGGACAAAATGTACGTGAAATGGTTTGATACAGTAATGTTTTACTATGTGATTTTTGTGAATGTCACTTTTTGTGTCATTTTCAGATTTCCCGCCGTTCCGTCCCCCATACGTCCCGACGCTCGCAGAGGACGGAAGCCAGATAACAGATGCCGGCATCGGCCGGATTACATTGCCGGGGACACTGCAGGAGGGACATCGCGGGAGCGCAGGACAAGGTAAGTGACCGAGGGATCGCGGAGCAGCGCCACATGGTAAGCCCGAGTGTAGCTCGGGATTACCGCTTGTGGTACTGAAACTTTACCCCGAGCTACACTCGGGAATACCGCCAGGGAGGTTAATGGCGAACCAAACGTGTGTAATAGTCACATCAAAACGTGAGAGCTAACTGCCGAAAAAAGGTTCCATAGCTACTGTGGAGCATTTTTTGCGCATTTAAATGAATGGGCTGCTCTATACTGTTGCTTGAAAAAAAAAAAAGACGTGCAGGTGTGAATGAGGCCTAACCCCAGGTTCACACCTAAGAGTTTTCCGCAGCGTTCTGCAGAAACGCACTACAGTCCATTGAACATGATTTCCTATGGGACATGTTCACATCTCTGCGTTTTCACTCTGTGCGTTTTTTGGAAAGGGTCAGGGACTTTTTTGAATGCAAAAAGTTGCTTTTTCGGTTCTATAGACTTCAATGAAAACGCTGAAGAAACGCATGTAGTGCGTTTTTGCTGGGTTTTTTATGCGTTTTAAATCTGCCCAGCAACAAGAAAAATTTAAAAGATGCAAAACGCGGCAAAAACGCAATGCAGAAATGGTTCAAACGCAATCTAGCCTTCAAGAAAATATATATGGGATTTTCGCACACGTGTGACTGGGTGCAAACACCAGAATAAACTTTATTTATAATTAATGTATAGAACAGCCGCGTTTATGTATGAAGTACATAGAATGTGTCTTTCTCTCGGTGTCATTAGACTGGCACACAACACATTTCCTGACAGGCTCGCCGCCTTTTTTCCTCTCTCCTCACAGCACATGCTGTATGACCCCACTGGGGCGACGCCCACTGCCTCATCCGCCCTTAGGCTCCGCCCTTCCCCTCCCACAATCCTCCGCCGCCGTGACTGGCGCCGTAGCGTGCTCCCGACCAATCAGCGCTCCGTGCGTTGAGCGAGGTCCGGCTGATATCAGTGCGCGGCGAAGCTCCTCCCCCTCTTGCACTGAGCGCTCGGATCCTTCCGCGCCACGCTCCCTCCCTTCCTCCGGCAGCCCGCCCGGCACCGCCCGAGCAGTGACCCGGCACCGCCAACATGGAGCTCATCACCATCCTCGAGAAGACCGTCTCTCCAGGTGAGGTGGAGAGAAGCCTGTGTTGGGGGGAGGGTAGTCCGGGGCGGTGGGTGACATGAGGAGAAGGTAGCCGGCTGTCACTGGAACACCCGGCGGGGAGTTGTGCTTACCTGTGCGGGCTGACGTGTTGTCTCTTCCACAGACCGCAATGAGCTGGAAGCGGCACAGAAGTTTCTGGAGCAGGCGGCCATCGAGAACCAGGTGAGGAATGCGGGATACGTGCGGGAAGGCGGGCGCGCTGTGAGGCCGGTTTTGCCGGTCATGGTTTGCTGGAGCGGGCCGCGTTCGGGCCTCCACGAACCGCCAATACACTCACAGCCTAGCCTGCCCGCCATGCGCGTTCAGCCAATGGGGAGGTGAGCAGGCTTCGAGCCGGGTAGTGGCTGTGGCTGACCAATGGGAAGGCGCGGCTCAGGGAGCGGTGAAGGGGAGGGGCGGTGGCTGCTCAACACGTTGGGTTGACTTGCGGCCTATATATGAGTGCCGGGAAAGCGGTCCCATGTGGGGAACAGCGCCCAGCCCGTGTCATTGTGTGCCCATCCTCCATCTCACTGATATATGACGACTGATGTGGGCCCCTGTACCTCAGAAGAGGGCACACCACATGTCCCTTCACTTGCTGCATGCTCACAACCTTTCCAGCTAGTCAGTCTGGCCACTGAAATGAATTGTAGTAGTTGCATGCAGTATACAGCACTGCTGGGTTCTGGCAGCAGTGGGTTGCCATGTCTGTGCAGGCCGCGATTTGCACTGGCATGACAGCCCGTCTGTTCGCATTGGCTGCAGAGCCCCCTCCTGAAAAGCAGGTGACAGATCCCTGCACCATTTCTGGGATCGCAGTCCGCACGGGAATCTCAAGTGCAGTGTTGTACTATACTTGCAGTTCCCGTGCGGACTGCGATCCTAGAAATGGTACAGGGATCTGTCACCTGCTTTTCAGAAGGGGGCTCTGCAGCCAATGCTAATAGGCTGTCATGCCAGTGCAAACCACAGCTCACAGAGCGTCACGTATCTGCTGCGGTCTGCACGGACATGACAACCCCCCCCCAAAAAAAAACTCACATGAGACCCCTCTTGATCTAGCAATGTGCCTTGGCTGTCCTAGGACTCCCTCTCCTCCTTGCTCCCACTGCTGTCAATCACAGCTAATGTAGGGGCAGGGCTGAGTCCTGACTGTCTTATGGATGTATAGAGCAGAGCTCTGGAGCAAGCACGCATCAGGGCCCCCATAGCAAAAGGCTTGCTGTTGGGGGCACTGGTCAAGGGGGAGAAGCCAGGATTGCCATGGGAAAGGACCTGAGCAGGAGAGGATTAGAGCTGCTCTGTGCAAAACCACTGCACAGAGCAGGTAAGTGTGACATGTTTGTGGTTTTTTTTTTTTTTTGTTAAAAAGCTAAACCTTTAACACTACGTTAATGGCACCCACCCGCATCCCCTGCTTCCCACTGTGTGGGTTGTTGCTTGAACTGTGGGTACCGCAGCGGCAATTGCCCGGACAGGTGTCAACATAGTCAATGGCGACTGCTGTCGTCTGCCGTGGCTAGGTTCACATAGATGAAGTGCACTTATTTGTCCTGCCGGTTTCTGTGCAATTTTAAAGGGTAGTTTTTTAGCAATACAGGTGCGATTCTGATGCAGCATTCTCAGTCAGGCTCGTGTCTCCTGGCATGGACCAGGGATGTGAGATGAGGAACAAAGCGAAATGGAATTGTTATCTTTGGACAGATGAGCGATTTCCGTTTGAGTCTATGTAGCTACAAATCGCATTAAACTTGCACAGGACCCTTTTTAAAGCTACATCGGAACTGCACATATGTGAATGACCTCCATAGAAACTCATGTTTCATTGTCCTGCTATTCCATCCTGGAGTGCTTCAGTGCAGACCAGAGGATGAATTCACACTGTGCGGTGACAGGTGGTTTACTGCCTGTCACTGCAAGGACAAACCGAAATCAGTTGTTTTCTGTGTGTACCATTCAGATGGCAGCGCAGGCCAGAGCAGCCCTAAAATGCAGCATGCTGCCTTATATTGCAGCGCACTGCTGTACAGCATGAGTAGTGTACTACCCCATTCAGGAATGGACAGGTACAGAGCTCCAGCAGCTGTCTGTTGTGTGAATTTGTCCTAAAGAGTGCTGCTCCACCATTTAGAACCAGCCTTGTAGTAATTGATCAATGAATGCAAGCCTTTCTCTGATTGGCTGAGGTGGGTTGGATGATTCACGGTTCCCTTATCGGCCAACTGTAGGGAGCCTTGTATTCTTGGGTTAAAGCAGAACTAAAGATTTGCTGTTCACTTAGCAGGCAGGTGTTTTACTGCATGTCTCTTCTGCAATAAAACTCACCTGCCTGCTCACAGAAATTCTCAGCATGTAAACTGAGCTGCACATGCACAGCTCGGCTTACAGGGGCCGGTCTGATCCCTGTGTCTTGGGATGAGTAGCTTCTGCACATGTACAGGACTCGGATCATCCTCTGCCAGCCAATGAAGATGGCTGATAACTGGGACACAGATGAAGATGCCAGCAAGGGAAAGCACCACATGCCTTCATTTAGTTCCGCTTTAAATACAAGGATTCTCATGAATGGCGGAAAAGCACTTATCCCCCTAATTCCGTCAGCAGGTGGGAAGCTGTCCATACTTCTGGAACACCACTTACTGGCTAATGCTACTACAGTACATTACAGCGAACACTGGCTGCATCATTCTTTATTACAGGTACTTGTATAGCGCCATCAATTTACGCAGCACTTTACACATATATTATACATTCATACTAGTGGTGCTCCAAAATTAAAATTCAGGTGCAGAGACCGAAAATTCAGAATGCATTTGGCCCGAAAACCGAAGCGACCGCTTATGTGGCGGTGGGAGATATATAGATAGATAAAATTTATTTTTACCTATGGTTTTATTGCTATCACCTAGGGGACAGCATATGAGTGACAGGCCACCCTTTGTAGGGGAGGCAGTGTGTGCAAGGAGGGGACAGGGGAGGAGCAGTGTATATACAGAGACTATATGTCAGTGCCAATTTTTAAATGCAGTTGCTGTTTTTTGTTTTTTTTTTCTTCACTATAGCTGAGCGAGAAAAACTGTTTAACAGGAAAGAAACTAAAAAGGCTTTGTTTTAGCTTGGGGAAAGTGATAGGTCATTTTCTGAGCTATAATGAAGAAGAAAACAAAGCTGGTAATTGCATTTAAAAACTGGCACTGACATAGTGACAGCCAGTCACTGTATACACTGCTCCTCTCCTGCCTCTCTCATTTCGGTGCATCCTAATTCACACCAGTCCTTAACCCTTGAGGGGTGTACAATCTAAGGTCTCTAGCTTACATTCATACACATACTAGGGCCAATTTAGACAGGACTCAATTAACCTACCAGCATGTCTTTGGAGTGTGGGAGGAAATAGCAGTACCCAGAGGAAACCACGCAGGCACAGGGAGAACATGCAGGCAGGTGGTGCCGCGGTTGGAATTTGAACCCACGACTCTAGTACTGCCAGGAGGATGTGCAAACCATTTAGCCAGTGTGCTGCCACATTCTTTAATGGGAATAATTTACTTGGGCCAACTGACAAGGGCCATGAGGTCCCTTGTCGGCAACACCTCTTTCCCCAACTTCTTCTTTAACCATTTTGACTGGCCAGCATTAGAAGATTTCACCCTAGGTGTGTTGTCATCCTCGCACACGGGCATTTTGCCAACATGTAAACTGAACTGACAATGGCAGACACCCTGGAATACACATCTGCAATGACATAGCCGAGGTGATGATTTCCCACATGGGACAGCTTTTCTAGCACTGATATATAGACCGCAAGTCATCCCTATGTATTGAACAGCCACCGCATGTAGTGCTGCCAGAACAGCATTGCTTGCTCTTTCACTAATGCTAGTGCAGTATATTACACTGGTCATATTCTTTACTAGAAATACTGTTTGAATTTTCCCAAGCTGAACCAAACACCCAGAATATTGGTGCTAGTGGAGTATCCTCACTGCTGTAGGGCTTCAGTGCCATTGTCTGCTCTCAAAAAGCCGTAATGTTCCTGTAAAATGACTGTAGACACATGAGGATGCTTAAACACTTGCCTACCGGGCACTTTCACCCCCTTTTTGCCCAGGTCAATTTTCAGCTTTCGGCGCTGTCGCACCTTGAATGATAGTTGCGTGGTCATGTGACACTGTACCCATATGAATTTTTTATTTTCTTTGAGACAGAGCTTTCTTTTGGTGGTATTTAATCACCACTGGGTTTATTTTTTGATAAACCAAAAACAAAGTTTTGTAAATGAGTAATTTTTCTCCTTCACTGATGTGTGCAAATGAGGCTGCACTGATAGGTGGCACTAACAGGAATCACTGGTGAGCATTCAGACATGACTGATGGGCACTGAAAGGCAGTACTCTTACATGGCACTGATAGGCGGAACTGAAAGGCAGCTCTGATCGGCACTGATATGTGGCATTGATGTGCACTGGTAGCCACTGATATGTGGCATTGATGGGCACTGGTAGCCACTGATATGTGGCATTGATGGGCACTGACATGTGGCACTGATGGGGCTACACTGATCATCAGTGCCCTGATGATCAGTGTAGATGCCCCCTCTGAAGAATGCCGATTACGGATCTCCTCACGAGCGGTCAGCGTGACCGCTCGCGAGGAGAGAAATGCCAATAACTGGTATTTCCTTATTTACATTCGATCCACTGTGATTGGACACAGCGGATCACATGACAGAGCTGAAGTTATCGGCTCTTTTCGCTGATTGGTGATCCGCTGTATCTCGGGGACACAGCTCACCACCGATCGCCGCGTTGTTAGCTACTGGGGGCGTGCATGCGCGGTTAGTGGGAGAACGCCATATGACGTCCTCTCAGAATGAGAGAACCACCTTTGTGCCTGTACTTTCCTTATATGGTGGGCAGGAGGCGGTTAAATGATCTGGCTGTCTGGGTACCAGTATTTTGGATGACCGTAATTTGAATCTTCCTCTTCCCACCCTTTTTAAATGTCCTGGGAATCTAGGTTTTAAACAAGCTCACAGCTGTTTGTTTTCCTCGCCTTCTGGCTATACAGTAAAAGTGATCAGGCGGCTGCAGAGGCACCTGGTCATCTTTACATTACTGCAAAGACCCCACAATGGTTCCCGGGACCATGAAAATGCTGTCAGGATGGGTGGAGCAGAT